TGTGTGTGTGTGTGTGTGTGTGTGTGTGTGCGCGCGCGCGCGTGTGCATGCATGCATGCATGTATGTATATAGAGATAGCACAATGACAATTTACCTGGCAACCTCTTTTTTCAATCTCCGTAATGCACTTTTTCATCAAGAGAGGGACCATCAAACCTTCATTTTCCTTCTCAACAACTTTCCGAGCATCAACTCCAAAGAGTATCGGTTCTCGTTCTCCATCTGTTCCACCAAGAGAATTCTCCCACTGTTCCAGAAGAGTTAGCTTGACATAGATAAGACCTCTAGGCTCCAGTTTTACTGCCAACTGATGAGTCCTCGTCACACGAAAAAGAGCAGGAAGAACTACCGTACCATGGCAGCAGACCCGGTTTTTCCTTGGCATGGGCTCCCAGCTGAAAACCACTAATTTTAGATGCTGAGCATTTTCTATCTCTATGTTGAAAGTGTGATCCATGTCCAAAAATGTTGTTCTGCAAGTCAGCAAAGCGGTCCTTGCTTTATTTACTGAATCTACCTGAATTGCGCAGAAGACATCTTTTGAGTCCATCCGCGGCGGTTTCAGATCCTCTGCACCATAGAAGTGAATGCTCATGAGTCCAGATATGTACTGGGAACATTTGGGTTGGTCAGCAAAAGTGTAGTGTCGAAAAGCATCAATGTCTATTTCTGATTTATTACCCATGTTACCTGCAAATACTTCCTTTCCTTTCCCAACTCTGCTTTCAGCTCCGTATTTCCCTGATTTCGCTATAAGCTCAGGAGAGTCTCCATCGCTGAGGTAGCCCCCTTTGCTGGAGGATTTGGAAGTCCCCCTGTTTTTCTTTTTATAGCTGTGTTGAGAGGATACACTGCTATCAAGATGATACCGGCTTATAACATTCCTGCTAGCAGCTGCTGTTACATTCCCAGAAGAAGCTAACGGTGCATGGCCTACCTCCTGGCAATTATTTTTAAGCAACAAAGAATTGTCTGAGCTATTATGGCTTGAATTTCCTTTGACACTGAGCTTCCTGCTGAGTTCAGGCAATTTTTTCATCTTCATGGAAAGTTTCCTGACTGTTCTTGGGGATTTTATTTTATCAGGGAAAGACCAGTTTATCGAGCCACCTTTTTTCAATGGGTTTGGGCTTGGAGGAGAATATTCTGCTGTTCCTGTCTCTGCCTTGTTTGCAGACATGATTCCAGGACCTTTGAAAAAAGAAAAGAAAGAGAAGATTAAAAAAAAATACTTGGAAATGAAAAGGCTACTTCTTTGTCAGGATCTGAAAAAAAATGTCTATTTGGAAAGATGATGAGCACCATCTACATCAGAGTTCCCCAACCTTTCTGATTTTGCAGACTGGGGGGGCGGGGAGAGTTCTGCACATGTGGCGGCCATGTGCACACAGCTCCATTTGTGCAAGCGGCAGAAAAGCACAAATGCTTGCCCACCACTCGCACAAGTAGGGATGTGTGTGCTTACCCGCCACCTCTGTGGCCCAGTTCCGTGGGGCTCAAGTCCCTGTAGTTGGCTGGGGCCCGGGCGTTGGGGACCCCTGATCTACCTTATTCCCATAAATACCCCTTCCTGTGTGCCAGAACAACCAAGAACATGTGTGTCCCCCCCGCCTTTCCTTAAAAGAGACAAAGGAGGCAGATGCTACCTCGGAATCACTGACCCAGTCCTCTGCTGATGGACCATTCTGCTTGTTTTGTTCTCTTGCATATGTTAAATTGATGTCTTTCAAAAGAAAAGCTGGATGCTGCTGTTTTGTTTCAGCATCTCTTTTAAAAATAAAATTCTATGATTTGCCTACACTGTCAAGTTCTGGAAAAGATTGCAAAACAAATTTGCTTTAGGCTCTTGTGCATTTCAAAGGTGGTAATTTGCTTTTTATGGTTTTTCTTTTCTTTGCAAACAAACATGTATGCCTCTTCTCATTGTGGGAAGTTATCATCCAGCCCTCTCCCAGAAAAATGAAATATCCTAGGAAATATTGAAAAGGNAAATTTATGATGGTTGCCATGTCCCTGAGTCATGGGATCACCTTTTGCGACCGTCTCACAAGCAAAGCCAATGGGAAAGCCAGATTCACTTAACAGTTGTGTTACTAACTTAATAACTGCAGTGATTCACTTAACAACTGTGTTAAGAAAGGTAGTAAAATGGGACAAAACACACTTAACAAATGTCTCGCTTAGCAACATAAATTTTGGGCTCAGTTGTGGTTGTAAATCCACAATATCTACCAGGAAGACAAGTGGATAATGGACCAGCAAGGACATAATTTTTTCCCCCATTTAATAAAGTAGTATATAATGAATGTTCAATGTGGAAAAATAATTTTTACATGCATTCACCCTCCTTTTAAAGAAATTAAAATGATATGATAGTATGCATCCTTGCCCCTTCCTCCCCTCCTCCCTAATTTTGGAAAGTAAAGAAAGTTGAGGATACAAAACAATTTGTTCAAAGTCATAGAATTTTCATAGGACCTAAACCCATCTCTCTCTCTTTGTCTCCCTAAAATCCAGCTTTTTGCTCTCTGTATACAAACTCTCAAAAATTGTATTCTTTGTTTTTATATTTATATTGAACATACATTAAAGATTGAATGCTATTTTCTACTTATTGATGGCAAGCCCTCTTTAAAAATATCTAGTTATGATTTGATAATTAAAACTAACAAAGAAATCTACGGTCTCTATTTCTTTTTCTCAGTGCAGATTAACAACTTGCCGGGAATTGTTTTAGTTTATAGAAAGGACAGAACTCTAATTTAGATACCGGCTTTCCCTTCCCCTCTGCTAAACCTACTGCTACAATTCAAAGTGAAAATGCTGCACGGTTAAGCCTACAGATATTTGTGGAATTAAAGTAGTTAATTTTGTCTCGTGCTGATAGTGACACACACATTTAAAAAAACTTAACATTGGAATATAAAGGGAATCAATATTTGTTGTCCGAATGACTGAATAATGTTTTGATTTTACTAGATATAGATTGCTTAGTATTTTACTTATTTAATTTATATTCCACCTTTCTTCAGTGGCTCCTAAAGGATAAAGTATTTCCAGAGTGAATGAACTTAATTTTACACCTTAATAACCTTTAACAAGTTTTACTCTTTCTTTCTAAGAATTTTTGGACTGAAACATAAAAGAAATAGGTGCTTTAAAAAAAAAAATAGACTGACGAGTGGAGATAGTCCTGAAATATAATACATAGGATTTTGTGGACAAAATGCTTTCTGCTTTTTTTTCATTTCATTTCATCCTTACAAACACTTTCAAAAATAGGTCCATATTATTCTAATAGTATAAATGGATGTGTGATGAGGAAACTGTGCAAAGACCTGAAAAATTTGAATCCATGTCACCTGCATAGTAGATGTTTCATATTTATTTGTTTAATTATGTGTTTTTTTTCCTTCCATTCCTACCATATTTTGGTTGAAACATTTTTATTTAGGAAAATCAAAGCAGACTGGCCAGAGATAAGCTATTGAATGAATGATACTTGGGATATAGTCATTAACTAAAGGCAGGAGAAGAAGAAACAAAACACTTTTTAAAAACATGTGAATATCACAATTAAAATGGGTAATGATTCTAAGCTGAATTTAGTATGTTAGCATGAATTCTACTTCTAAGAAATGTTATAGAGCTGCTGGTCAACATGTAAACAAAGGAAGCTAATTTTGTCATTAATGCATATTTGTACAAGACTTGGTTTTCCCTGAACTAAAGTACTAATATTGTAATCAAAAGAGAGACAACATCAAACCACTAATACCAAAACTGTTTAAATTGTGCCCAGAAAGAGAAGTGCAAACATTCCACATATTTGTCAGACAATTATTTGATAGAACAAATCTTACCAAAAGTAAATCTAAACATCTGACTTGTAAACATTTCTCTACAACAATCTTCTTTTAAATTACTCATGAACATCCCCAATGATCAAAAGACAGCATGGCTAACACAGATTATGCTTTTTATCATCACTTTTCAAGTTAAGTGAATAGACAATTATAGAACAACTTTAATGCAAGGATTTTGAGATCTTCACTATGAAGTTGCAAAGAACTAAAATGTATATATATATATACTCCTACCTGAAAGCATAAGGCTGAGTCCAAAGAAAAGAAGAAGTGCTAAAAATGTCCACGCTTTTCCAAGTATATCCATCCAGTTTATACTTTAGTTCATGAAATACCAGAGGTCCTTTCAGTGGGATAAACCTCAATCTTCGCTCTTCCTTCGCATCGCACAGCAAACTTGCTTACCAGCGAGCAACAGATTCACTGTGGTGGACTAGAGCAAGCTCTTAGCTGTCTCAGCAATGGGAGTTTTAAGTTCCTTTTTCCTGTTTCCTCTTGTAGATTAGGATGGGGAAAGCAGGATCTTAAAGTCATTCTTCATCAGCAGGATTTGTGAGATTGTCTGAGCTGCGTCTATTACATCTAAAACTTTGCTTCTCCTGTAGGGGAGGGAGGGGGAATGGGTCGTAAGTTCTCCCTCCCCAGGTCATGGCCAGTGCTGTCAGAAACAATAGAACATCCTCCGGGAGGGAGAATTATGAAAATAACAAACCCCTCCACCTAGACATGGTGTGTGAAAATGTGCTACTCCACCTCTTCTTCCATCTCACCATCTGCTAATTATTCCCAGGGTTCCTATTTGGAATAAAAAGTTTTTGAATTCTTGATTTACCTGTAAGTACAGAGCTAATACAAGAGATGTGATGGCTCAGTGGCTAAGACGCTGAGCTTGTTGATCAGAAAGGTCAACAGTTTGGCGGTTCGAATCCTTAGCGTCGCATAACAGAGTGAGCTCCCATTACCTGCTGCCAATCTAGCAGTTTGAAAGTATGTAAAAATGCAAATAGAAAAATAGGGACCACTTTGGTAACAGTGTTCCGTGCACTTTTGGCATTTAGTCATGCCGCCCACATGACCACGGAGATGTCTTCGGACAGCGTTGGCTCTTCAGCTTTGAAACGGACATGAGCACCGCCCCCTAGAGTCGACTAGCATATATTTGTGAGGGGAACATTTACCTTTACCTTACATAGCTAGTTCTTGAATTTTCAGGAAACACGCCCCTCCCCCCATTCTACACGATCGTTCGTCAGGGATGGAATCACCCTGGTCCTCATCCCTGGCCAAATTCTGTTCAGGGTGAGAATCTATAGTTCTCAACAGCTTCATCCATCTCCTTGCATCCCTAGGATTAGAGATGTAAGCGGTTCTTCCTACAAACTGGAAGAAGATATCCCCATAACTTGCTAAGCCTTATTTTTTTAAAGTACAATGCAACTATTGGGTTTACAACATCAACACCAAACACTTTGCATCATAGCATAGCACAGGGTGAGAGGCCAGTCCAGGGTTGATATATTGCACTAAACTGTTTTGACTACAGTTTATTGAACAAACCATTGTGGTTCCATTCATCTATAATACTAAGTGACAAATCACCATGCACCATGCTGAGCCAAACCCAAATACAAGGAGTCCTTGCCTTATGACCACAATCAAGTCCAAAATTTCTGTTGCTAAGTGAGACAGTTGTTAAGTGAGTTTTGTGCCATTGGTTAAGTGATTCAGTGCAGTTGAGTGAATCTGGCTTCCCCATTGACTTTGCTTGTCAGAAGGCTGCATCACATGACCCTGGGACACACCAACCATCATAAATATGAGTCAGTTGCCAAGTATCTAAATTTTGATCCTGTGACCATGGGGATGATGCAAAAGTCGGAAGTGTAAAAACAGTCATAAATCACTTTTTTTCAATGCCATTGTAACTTTGAAAGATCACTAAATGTGCTGTTGTAAGTCAAGGAATATCTATGAAACATTATATAGAAGAGAATATATATAGCCCGGGATTGAACTTTGGAGTCCTTGGTGCTCTCGGAGCTTGATTGTTTGCTTGTAGATATTTCATAAACCAACTAGATAACATCATCAGTACTGATAGTGTTACCTACCGTATATGCCACTGTATAAGGCGACTGGGCATATAAGACAACCTCCTACTTTCAGGCGCCCTCAAGCCAGCTGAAGGCCTCTGCGCTGCCGGGCTTTCGTAGTTTGAGCTCAGCCCCTTCCTCCTCCAGACCGCCAGCCAGACCTTACTAAGCCCTCCCAGCGCTCATCCATACATGTGCCCAGGCGAGGAGCGCCAAGGTTATCGATTGAAAGGCCAGCGTCTGCGCTGGTGGCAGCGCGGCTTTTTGCTTGGTGGCATTGCTTTTTCTTTTGTTTTGGT